TTTGTTTTTGTTTAGCTGGAGAAAATTGTGGCACAACCAGTCATTAATTTCCACAATGCATTTACCAAGAGCCTGTACAGGGCCTCGGTCTCCTGGTGACATTGTGTCCTGATGTCCTCCTGCCAATCCAGCTGCCCCTGGGAGGGACTGTTTCCCTGGAGTGGAGCCTGAGGAGCCCACAGCAAAGAAACAGGATTAGAAACGGCATTTTTCAGGTTAATACCTGACAAGTTTCTCCTTTTCACCTTCAGTGAGACGCCAAAGTGCTTTGTTAACTGATCTGGATACTTTTTTAGTCTCAGCCTTACATTTCCAGTGCGCCGGTACAACGTCTGCAAGTTCTGAACACTCGAACAGTCTCTAGGTTTCATGATAGTTTCATTCAGACAGAATATGAACCATAGGATAGGATGTTCCACAGCAGCGTGCATGCTCACCCAAACTGTCCCAGCTCTCACACAGGCACTAAGACTGAAATCAAGTGTGGAGTTTTTGCCTACAGCTGAGAGTCCTATGATGAAAAATACACATTATTCTGGGTGTATGTTAGTCTTGAGTGTGTTAGAGCTCAGACACCCTGGCACTGGATGATACTCTCTCCTGGCTCAGTCCCACACACCGTGCTGCTGAGTACTAACGATGAAGCTTCAGGTACCATCACCTCTCTGGGATCTGTGTTTCCTGACTCGGGTTTTTACCACAATCATTTGTAATGTAATGAATTCTTCAAATATTGGTTTCTTACAGACATCGTGGTGCCACTGGCCGCTCTGTTCGTCTATGCAGTGACCAGGGCCGATGGTTAGTCAGTGAACAGCCTTCGTGGGGTTGGCAGCACGTGAAACAATGTAAGTGAGAAACAGATGATACCTTGGACCTGATCCACGTCTTCCTCCGGGATCTGAGAGCTGCTCGTGTTATTCAGACTCCCCTGACCCTGGAAAGAGGAGGGAGGCATTTAGCTGACACAGAGAAGCCAGGGGGCGCTCACACAGTGAGGGGGGGGTCATGACAGGCTGTGGACGTCAACTGACGTCAACATGGCTGTGACATGAACCGTGCTTTCACAGCACCATCACATCTCATACTTGTATTTGACTCGGTGCAGTCCTAACGGCAGGGCTGTGGGGGACAGTACACCTGCACAGCCCTGGAGCAGTGAAGGAGGAGGAGCTCCTGGAGGAGCGTTTGGTTTTTCTCCACTAAGTCTCGTTTTTGTAGCTGCAGGAATCTGTGCATCTATTTTGCTTACAGGCCAGCTTAAAACAACCCATCCAAGCTAGACCGGCACTAATGCACCGCTCCGGTGCCGACAGCGAGCGTGAGCTCGGCCGAGGACCACTGAGTCCAGAGCGTACGACACAGGAAACGACAAAATACAAGTGTTTGAAAATACAATTTATTAGCAAATTTACATGTCACAATATTCACGAGTACAAAGCAGTGACAATGTTTCTCTCTTCTTTGTTGAACTCATAGCTCAGATTTCATGAATTCATTTCAAAGGTGAAGCGAAGTTTGTACGTTAACAGGGAGATGTTCGTGATGATGTCATGACTTTGGCTCATATCCCAAATTAAAGAAATGAAGGAAACCAAACGAAGGCTTCTTTGCAGCCATCAACTCACACAGCACACAGGGGGCGTGTCAGGAGCTCCCGTTAACCTGGTGTGGACTAATAATCTGATATTAAAGTCAACGCTGCAGATTAATGGGGACAAAGCTCACCAGGACAGCCATGAGGTGTGATGATAGATTTAAAGGTGGGGG